TAGCCTACGTGGCCTACAGAGCTGAGCTGTCCCTCGACTTCCACATCATGGGCAATGTGGTGTTTGCCATTCTCACACCGGTTCTCAACCCTCTCATCTACACACTGAGGAACAAGGATGTCAAAGCAGCCATCACCAAAATCACATGTCCCCAGGATGGAGGGCATTCTGGGGGACCTTGATCATTGGATGTAACAAACTCAGCTCCCAGGACAACAATGGCAGCACCTAGCACAGAATAGGAACTCAGTAAATATTTTCGAATCAGTAACAGCAACCTAAATTGGCTTCAGTTAGTTGGGCAGACATGTACAAACTGGTCCTCAAATACTGGATCAAGAAGACTTCCAATGGTACTACAGAATAATTGTAGTGTTCACAATTTTCATCAGTAATTAGTGTAATAAATAAAATTTCATCATTCAATTATTTGTAAAAATATTATTAGGTCCCGGAGACAGAAATGAACCAGACCCAGTTGCTGCCCTGAATATACCCATAGTCTAGGGGGGGAGTCAGACCCAGAGGGAAAAAATATAAGGTGACAGGACAGAGAGAAGCAGTGGGGGTTGTGGGAGGCAAGCATTAATTCAACGTTACAATTTTCCCCTGTAAGTTTTTACATTTTTGGCATTGGATATCACTTGTTTGTTAGCAGGAACTCGTGCATCAGCAATATGGGATCAAAAGATTCCATAAGAAAACTACTAACTGTTCCAGTCAAGGAGTGCTAATGGTGTCCATGTTTCTGCCCAACGGGAAGGATTCATTTTCAGCTTGGATGCCCATCAAGAAGTGATGTTTCCTGCCAAAGGGGTTTAAAGCTCAATTTCCCTCTGAAATCACATGAGGATCAGAGCAAGGATGAGCAGAACTAGAGTCTCCCAATCAGGCCGAAAGAAAACCATTGCCAGGAGAGAGAATGAAGCAGGAAGCTGGTGCTTTGCAGTGCATATTGTGGGGGAATAAATCTTCCCTAACAATTTGTGATAAAGGCTTAGGACTAACCGGAAATTGAATAAATGAGTGACAGGAGAATTTTTCACAAACCCAAATAATAAGGGTTTTCATATGAGGAAATGACATCCTGCAGACCCATGTGCAACAAGATTATGGGGCCTGTAGAACTAGACTGTGTGAGAGAATAGGAACACAGCCTAGTCCAGGTAAAAGATGGCTTTCTCAGAGCTTAGGCTTCTCAGTGGTTTTTGGTCAGAGTAAATTGCAATTAGTATTTCCTTTAGATTTTGTGGCATAGTTTTATGCTTAGATTAACAGTGTAGTAAACACAGTATATATTCTCAGTTCAGAGTATGGGTTCAACCATTTCCAAGCTAAACTTCAAATTATCTTTATAATGTTTCAGTTAAAGAATTAACCCAGTATCACAGACAGATTTCTTTTCTTTTCTTTCTTTCTTCTTTTTTTTTTTTTGGTGGCTGGTTGGTATGGAGATCCGAACTCATGACTTTGATGATATAAGGCTGCACTCTAACCAACTGAGCTAAGCAGCCAGCTCCATAGACAGATTTCTGCATTGAATGAAAACCATCTGGCTTTGCTGTCAACATTTTGATGTCCAAGGTAGGACAGACCAAATAACCAGCCTCTCTACCTCCTTTCAGAACACTCTTTTAACCAGAATCACATCTGCTAAGATGTGCTACATACCATGTTAGCAATGGAGATGAGGTAAATAAGTAGCAAATAGACATTAATTAGAAAATGTGGGAAAGCCAATTAGGTCTAGATTAAAATTTTCCTTTTCAATGATATGTGTGTTCTTGGTTGTAATTTTATATGTATAATAAGGTCCTGTACCCCAAGGGAGCTTGTGTCTCATGAGAATGACAGGGTGAAATGTCAGCACATCACTGTGTTCCACAGGGAGCAGCATGGTTTTCACTTCCACTGGCATCTGAACACATTTGAGAACCTCTTGGTTAGAATGTGGAGTCGCAGAATATTGGAGCTGGAAGAAACACCATAGATCATCTGGTTCTACCCTCCCTATTTTATAGTTATGGAAACTGAGGCCCATAGGACTTGCCCAAAGCCATACAGCAAGTCAATGCCAGAGCCAAGACTCAAACATAAGTCTCTTGTCCTCAAAAAC